GGTCGCGCTCCAACGTGGAGCCTGGGAAGGACGGGGCAGGCGGGGAAGGTCCCCTTGGAATTCCTGTCCTTCCCCACGGCTCCGGTATGTGGAAAGCCGCCAGCAGCAACCGCTGGTCCCGAAATAACCGCCCGATAGAGCTCGCAGCCCGGAGCGGGGCCCGCGCCGCCAGCAGCACCCGGAGCGCACACGGGGAGGGCGGCACGGGGTCCGGCCGGGCTCCTGGCCCTTCGCCCACGTCGCTCCACGCCTGACCTTGCGTTAGGGATGCTGGAGACTCGGCGCACGCGGGGACGCCACCGCTCCCGCCTGCAGCCCGGCCACTGCGGCCGTCCTCGGGCTCCTGCCTCGTCCCCAGGCCGCCAGCCTGGGCCCCGGGCACCATTCCCAGCTCCAGCCCCACTGGGGCCCCCTCAAAGGGCTTTTCCGGGCCCTTCTCAGAAACGGTGGAGCCAAAAACTCATTTCAAGCGGGCCACCCTGTGCTCTGCTCGCCTCAAAGCGAGACGCGGGACGCGCAAGCACGCGGGTACCGCGCCAGCCCGCGCTCCCTTGTGGGAGGGGGTGGCAGGTCCCTGGGGCTCAGCATTCCTGCTCCATGCAAAGCTGCTCCTTTTGGCACCTCCTGGAAGCACTGTGGAGTACCCGCACCCCCGGCTGCCGCCGCCTCCGCCGCAGGAGCACATTCCTGGGCCACCTCCGTCCGTGCGGGCGGGTGGCTGTGGAGCCGTGACCCAAGCTGACTCCTTGGAGACACTGTTTGATCCCAGCGGGATCAGTTCAGAGCCAAAAAGAAGGGAAGAACCGTTATGACGTGGTCACTCCGGCAGCTCTTGTATTGGTCACTCCGGAAGCTCTCGCTTGAGCGGGCTCCTCTTCTCCAGCTGCAACAGGCATTAGGTCCTGCTTAAGGAGCAGCATGGAGCAGCCCCCTCCAATAGCTGCAAATCACCGGGCAGCTCCATTTGGGTGACTTGCCACAGCCCAGACCAGGGCCCTTGAGGAGCAGGAGGCTCAGGCAGGAGAATCCAAGCAAAACCCGCTCCGTCCTCGCTGCCGAGAGGGAGATGGAGCCTTTAAGGCGGCCTGACAGCTGGCAGAGCGGAGGCATTTCTGCTGCCCATGCTCGAAATACGGCCCGGGCTGCCAGGAGGAGGCCGGGAGAGCGCCGGGCGCGGAGACGTGGCCGCGGGGCCCGGCCGCGCGCCCAGCCCGTGCCCGCCAGCTGCTCCGCGCGGGACATTCCTGGCGGCCCCGTGAGGGTTAAAAATACCGGCAGCTGGGCCGGGAGCTCAGCGGAGCGAGGGGCCCCGGCCCCATCGGGGACAGGGGGGCACGTGGCATTGGGGACCCACCTCGTGGCATTGGGGAGCACCGGCGCTGGGAGCGGGTGCTGGCTCTATTTCGGTGCTCAAGCCCTGAGTTGCAGCCCTGGTGCGGGCCACGCGTCCCCCTGTGCTGCCTGCGCATGGGTGACACTTGTGGGGACATCCCACCACAGCCCCGTCCCACAGGATGCAGCCAGCCCAGACGGCCTGACCCACTCTAAAACAAAACGGGAGCGCGCCGGAGGGTAGAGTTGTCCCGGGATTCTCCCTCCTGCCTCTCCCAGCCTTCGGGATCAGACCTCTGTGGGCTGGAAGGAACGCTGCCGAACGCGTCGTGTTGAGCAACGCCGGTTTCACTGAACCGCCCCAAAAGGCTCACGGCGGGACGGGGGCCTGCAGCGAGGCAGCGCGCCCGGAGCCTCGGTGGCACGAGGAGCGCCGGCCAGAGCTCTCCTCCTCCTCCTCCTCCTCCGCCCCAATCCCTGCGGCAAAACCAGCCATTTCTCAAAAGCTAAGGAAGGGAAGAGGGGGAAAAAGGGGCCCAGGGAGCCCCTTGTTGCTGCTGAGGGTCGCTGCTGCCAAGTCATTACTGGCAGTGGTTCATTAGGGTACAGACTTTCTCCCCCTGGTCATCTCCAGCACAGGAGAGATGGACAAACAGCTCGAGATGCTGCCCACTGCCCATCCCGGCCAGCCCCATCGGCAGCACCGCTCTGCAGCCCCGGCCTCCCGCAACCGGGGACTCGGGCTTCAAAAACACCAATTTTCCCCCGTCCTTTTTCTTTCGGTTTGGGTACGGGTGGGGTTTAATTATTCCTCGGAGGCAAGATCCCGGATAAAAGCCACTGCCCGTGCCAGCTGGGGCAGGCCCCGGCTCGCAGGAATTCCTGCGCCGCACTCCGGCACTGCTGGGGATACCAGAGCTTCAGTTACTGCTCATCTCCCCCCGTCACTCCACGTCTCCCCAAATCACCCCGAACGCGCGCGCTCTTCCACTTCCAACGTGCAAAAAGGCTTTGCTGGATCCCGCTGGCACAGCCTCTCTTGCACCGAGCAACATTAGGGGCTTTACTCACGGCAGAGTTTCATCTTCATGGAGTTTGGGGAGGATCGGCTGCAATCTGGGCTCTGCTGGGGTTGCTGGCAATGAAAACGTGAGCGGGCCCCGGCGTCCTGGCAATTACTCGCCAGGGGAATTTTGCTGTTTGCTAAATTGAGTCAACAGCGCTGGTGCATGTAGGAACGCTTCAACTGTGGCTCATTTGGCTCCCGTCAACAAAACTGAGCATTGCAACAAGCTCCGAGCAAACAAAGAGCGATGGAAATGAAGCAACTTGGCCTAAACTCGAGCCGAAGACCAAGGGTTAAAGATCAGGTTCCTTTGCTCCGGCTGGCAGCTCAACGCAAGCTAAAAACACGTTATTTTAGTTGCAGCCCAGCTGTATCTAAAGCGACCCATGGGGATGTCCATATATGCACAGACGCCGAACTGCAGAAATGCCTCTCGGCTGTGCTCCATCCTATCGGAAAAGTGCGGGAGAAACCGGGCGCCCTCTTCCCAACCAGTTCCCTTGGGTGGGAAAAGGAGCCCGTGGGGGTCGGGTCTCCCAAAGTTAAGGCTTTATTGCAGCCTGTTCCCTCTTGGGGCAAGCTGGGGGTTTTAGGCAGGAGCGGAAAAATACACGGGATGCTTTGGGTATAAATTGCCTCCCACGTCATCTCTTTGTGGCCCCGGAGTCAGAGCCTTCAATATATCTTCTTTATTAAAATCTGGACACAAAGGGCCCAGAAGTGGCCACCTTTGTCAGGGCTGCATTGGCAGCTCGCGTGCAGCCCCTGGGGCCATGCCTCATTTGCATCTCATTTACACAGATGTTCATTAAAATTAATGCTTTACGACATAAAATCTGCCCGCCTTCCTTTGGGCAGACGGATCAGAACCGGTCCTGGAGATGCCCCATGGCACACGGAGCCCTGCCCCTCGCGCGCCGCTCCAAGGGACACATCTGGGGACCTTATCCCCCAAACCCAAAGCCACCTCTGGTCCCCAGCAGACACATTGCACCTCTCGTGCAGCCTGAGAACAGGGCAGTTGTGACGCTGTCCATCAGCAGCTGCTATCAGACACCGGGAAACAAAAGCCCTGCAGACCCCAGTATCCAAAGGGTGCAGGAGCCTTTGGGGAGGCAGGGCCCTCAGCTCCGTGCCACGGACAGTTTCTCCAGACGTGTGGCTATCACAGCACGCGGGTCACTGCTCCAGCCCACCTTGGAGCTGCTCCCCTGTTTTATCTGCTGCCATCTCATAGCAAAGCCCTAAAACCAGCATTGCGACTCTCCTTTTCCCACTGAGCTTTCCAAAGCCCCGGGTGGCCTCAAGTGGCTCCTCATAAGGACACTGCCTGCCTGTCACCCGCTCATAGGGCCGTGGCCACTGTTGTCTTAAAGATTCATCTTTGAGGTCACGGAGACTTAACCTGTGACTGTTAGGAGGGAGCACAGCGCAAAGAGATTGTGTTTCCCCATTGCTCCAGCCAGGAGCCATCCAAGCAGGAAGGTTTCACCAGTTACACACATCAGATCCCCCTTTCTGGGTGGGTTTATTCCAAGCAGTTGTGTGTGGTCCTCTTTGTCTATTGTTCCCCCCGCCCAAGATGAAGTTCAAGGCCTCCCGAGCGACACAAGTTCCAAGCAAGAGCACAGCAGCACCAGCAGAGGAGCCCGGATTCGCCCCCACGAGGGCCAAGCCCAGACTCCTCCTTGGACAGGCAGCCTCTAAAACACAAACCCCTTGGCCTGGGGAAGGCTTTGCGGAGCTATTAATGAGGCAATGGGAGCAATTAGCCACGGGAGGGAAACTAAATGGCTGTGAAAGTGCCTCTACCCAAGACATGTTATGGCCAGGATGTGAGCGGCGAGATGTACATCAGGTCAACCCCCAGCTCCGGAGCAAATCAGCACGAGAAGTTTCACAGCAAGAGAATCTCTGAGCAGTATTACTGCAATTAATGCAGCGTGGCAGCGTGCCCCGACACCGTACGGGAATGCAGCCTGCTACAAACCTCCTCTCGCTAAACATTTCGTGCAAGCCAAGGTGGCCTTGCACTTCGTGCAAGCCCGGTCCTCGCAGGAAACATGAAAAGCCTACGGCAAAACTTTGCTTGGCCTTGTTTTTATTCCCCGTGTGCACCTCTTCTCTCATCATTTACCTACAGAAAGACCCAGAGGTGAAGTGGCCAACAAGAACAAATGCCAGAACAGGTACAAAGATCTTGAGGATGACCTGAGGTGGACCAGCCTCTCCGATGATGCCAACTTGCCATTTAAATACACTGAGAAATATTCCTCCCTCTCCAAAAATCCACATAAGAGCCACCTTTAAAGGCCTGGAGGAACCGGCACTCTAACATGAGAGCACTACAAGGAGAGCAGAAAAATGTTTTTTTTGTTCTTCTCACAAAATCTTTTCATCACAGACTATCAATTCCAGCAGCTGATTTTAGATCCCTCAGAGCTGAAGCTATTTTACCCCACCAAGTGTGCTGACATTTCAATAACAAACCATACAGTCGTCATAGCTCGAAGAACAGAAGTCTTAAACGAAAGGCCACGACACCGGACAGACCTTTAAATGCCAAATACCACTTAGGAAACGCCAGAGCACCAAGACTTACCTTAAAGTCGGCCAACTGCTGGTTGATGATGTCCACCTCCGTGCCCACCACCCATTGCAGCGCCTCGTGCTCCTCGGCCGCCGCCGTCATGTGGGTCAGCTCCTTCAGCCTGCCGTAAAAGTCCTCGACGCGAGACAGCGTCGTCTCCACCTGCTCTTGATGGTTCTTGCCTCTCTCGGTCAGTTTGCTGCACTGTTTATTCAGCGTCTCCAGTTCACGCTTCAGGCCTAGGAGATCAGGGCTGCCTTCGTCCTCCAGCATTTTCTTACATTCGCTTTCGGAAGCTTCAATGTCGCCCTTCAGACGCTGCAGTTTGCCCAGGAAGGCACGAACATCCTCTGCTTGAGACTGAAGGCTGTCAGAGTCCCTCCCAATGGGGCCCATGCTGTCCAGCTCATCATCAAGATCCGCCAGTTGAGCGAACATCTCCCTGACCCGGTTATTGAACTGGCCGATCCCTTCGAGCTTGTTTTCCATGAGCGTACAGCAGTCGTTCACTCTCTGCTTCACAGCTTTGAAGTCTTGCTGAGCCACTTCAGCTTGGCACAAGAGCTGGGAGCAGTCAGAGCCTTCTGGGGCATCTTCTATTAGACCCTGTGTGAGGTTTTTCAGATAATCCACTTGTGGCTCAAGGGCCTGCAGCACCTCCTGCTGTGCTCTGAGCTTCTCCAGGTTCTTGGTGCTGCAGGCCTGCGGCCCTAGCGCGTCATAGATCTCCAGCTGGTGCTTAGCCCCTTCTAGCTTCTTCTCAATGTTCTTGAGGCTCTCTTGAAACTCTTTGAGCCTCTGGGACATTTCTTCAATAGAGCCTGTCTTGGCTTGCAGCTCTTCTGTGATGGCATCCATCTTCTGATTGACCCCAGCCTTCTCATCACGAACATCGTCCTCGTCAGTTTGAGACACATCTATCAGGATGTCGGCCGCGCTGTTCAGCATCTCGAGCAGGGAGCGCCGCTTCTCCACATCGCTCAGCAAAGCCTTTGACCTCAGCAGAGTTGCCTCTAGCTGCACAGGATCCAGAGTTACTTCCAGCTCTGACATCTTTGCCTTACAGTCCTCCACCCAGGGGAGCAGGTCCTCCATATACCGCAGGTACTTCTGAGCCTTCTGCAAACAGTCCTTGAGCTTAGAGTGTCTATCAGCAACCTGCTTGCTGAGCTCTTCCCAGTGCGTTTTGAGGCCAAACAACTGGTTTTGCAGAGCAGTCTTCTCCTCTCCAGGCTGCACTGAAAGCAGCAAAGATTCTCCCTCAGCTACAATCATCTCATAGGAGCCACTGTGTTGGTTGAGGCTCTTCTGGAACTCTTCTTGCTCCTGAATTTGGCTCTGCAGCCTCTCCAGTTTAGCAGAAATAGGTTGGCTCTGAGCTTGCTGGCACAGCTTGTCATCTAGCCAGGTCCTGAGTTCATCAAACATATGCTGGAACTGCTGGGAACTCGCAAGCGCAGTCTGCAGTCGGTTCATCCGGTCGGCTGAAATGGAAATAAGATTAGAGTGCGACAATTAAGCTGGAATCAAATAAACAAAGTGCAATCATCTTATATCATGTCAGATGCTCTAACCGTGTTTTGATTAACAGGAAGGAGCTCTTTCCATTGCATCACTAGCCTTTGTGCTCACCGGTTCACGAACTTCTTAAGGATCAGTAAGTTATGATGATGCAGGAGGTCATTCTCCTGCCTCACACCTAAACGCAACCTCTCGGGAACCAAAAGGGCATGTCAGGATTAGAGGTGACCACCGTGTCTTCTCTACTCCATTTCGAAGGCAGGGAGCAGCCTTTTCTCCAAGCGCAACACATGCCACGCTGCAGCAAGGCTGTCTGGCTTGCTCAACAGCTACACGATGTGCTTTCATACCTCAGGACAGGCCACCTGCTCATGGCCCAGGCCTCTTGCTCAAGGATGTTTGGGGTGAGAACTCTCCTGTGCTTAGTGCCACGTGAAATATCTACGTGGAGCTCCAGTAAAAATGGCAAGTCACCATTTTTCCCCCTACTGTTCCCAGAAACATAGTGTTGGGAGTGCCTTGTGGTGAAGAACAGGGAGAGGAGCTCAGTAACCCAACAATTTATCACTTCTCCGCACTCTCTCACCTGCCAGGTCTTCCAGTCCTTTAAGAGGAAGTGCCACAGTCTCCAAACGCTTCTTCAGCTCGTCTTTGAGATACTGTTCTCCAATGAGGACAGAGAGGTCATCGCAGAGGGTCTGCGCCTCTGCGATCTCCTCCTCCAGCTGCTCCAGCTCCGAACGGATCTCACTGGTTTCCTCCAGCTGGTGCTTGACGGCGTCGGGCTGCGTGCTGCCGGCAGACTGGCTGCTCAGGCGCTGCCCGACCACCTTCACCTTCTCAGACAGGCCCTGGAGCAGTTCCTGGTACTGGGTGCTCTTCACTATGGCCTGGTCGATTTGGCTGGAGCGGGAGTTGAGGCGCTCCGTGAGCTCCGACCATTTCTGATTAACCCCTTGGAGCTCTTCTCGCACCTGGCTAGTCGACGGCGACACATCCCCAGGGCCCGTTAAGATGCTCTGGGCTGCCTGGTTTAGCTGCTCGTGCTGTTGTCTGCGAGCTTCAAATTCCTTCAGCATAAACTGGAACAGAAAGAACATCAAAATGTTTGCATAAAACTGACAGCTCCGAGTACACACGGCCAAAACAAACCAGACCTCCGGGGGCTTTCTGCAGCCCACATGATCCCCCAGAAGAAAGTGAGGCAGGTCTGGGCAGGCCAACGAGTGGGCACAGGAGAACGTGCAGCTCACCACGACCTTATGGTGCAAAACCCTGGGTGGTGATACAGGACTTTGCTCTCTCCCTTTCATGCCCTCCTGCTGCGTTACCACAACAGCAAGCAGCGAGATGAGGAAAAACCAACGCTCTTAATTACAGTTAATGGGGCATTTTCTTTTCTGGTGTGGCCGGTTATAGACATGTCTGGATTTGGGAGCTCTAGGTGTGCACGGGGCCCATTTGAGCTCGCGCTCAGCAGGCTTTGGAGGGCTCAGGAGAGGAGACCTTAGATCTGCAGCCTCTTCGGCTGCTCTCCTGCCACTCGCTGTGGGGCAAAGCCTTTGCAGAGAGCTTTTGACAGCAAGACAAAGAACCTCGTGGCCAACGGAGGTTTGTGGTCCCCTCAATTTGCCCTTTTGGACACAAGAAGAGATCCCTCATGCCGAATCTGCAGAGGAAACGCATACCCAGTTCCTGGCTCACCTGGACCTGCTGCTTCTGCGCGTTGAGCATGTTGGGGTCAATGGACAGGGGGCCCAGCACGCTCATCATCAGCTCCTTCTCCAGGAGCCAGGGCCGCAGCTGCGTTTCAGCAGCCTGGAAGCTGGCCAACTGGTTAACCGACTCCTCCAGTTTCTGCTGCCGTTCGGCTGTCGCCTGGTTGGCTTTTTCCCACCTGCAATCTGAGGAGATGGCGCCGTTGGCAGCGGTTGTGCCAGCCTAGCCCCTCCAGCGAGAGGGATCTTCACCCTCTCCGTGACTCATCCCTCAGGAAAGCTCCACAGTTTTGAAAGGAATCTAGTCTGAATCTATCCACCGTCGGTCTCAGAAGCCACGGCCCATTTCTGATGGTGGCCTGGTCTTGGGGCTCCCAGAAAAATATCAGGATTTCTGAATCCTAAACACCAGTACAGGCTGGGGACTGACCTTCTGGAGAGCAGCCCCGCAGAGAGGCACCTGGGCATCATGGTGGACAACAAGCCGACCATGAAGCAGCAGTGCCCTGGTGGCCAAGAAAGCCAACAGGATCCTGGGGTGCATTCAGAAGAGCATCTCCAGCAGGTCAAGCAAGGTGATCGTCCCCCGATACACAGCTCTGGTGAGGCCACATCTGGAGACTGTGTCCAGTTCTGGGCTCCCCAGGACAAGAGGGATGTGGAGCTGCTGGAGAGAGTCCAGTACAGGGCTACAAGGAGGATCAGGGGCCTGGAACATCTGCCCTAGGAGCAAAGGCTGAGGGAGCTGGGCCTGTTCAGCCTGGAGAAGAGGAGGCTGAGGGGGGACCTGATCAGCGTGTATAACTACCTCAAGGGAGGCAGTGAGGAGGAGGGGACCGGCCTCTTTTCAATGGTGGACAGAGATAGGACTAGAGGAAATGGCTTCAAACTGAAGCATCGGAAGTTCCACAGGAACTTCAGGAAGCATTTCTTCACTGTGAGGGTGACAGAGCACTGGAACAGGCTGCCCAGGGAGGTTGTGGAGTCTCCTTCTTTGGAGATCTTTAAAATCCACTTGGATGCAGCCCTGTGCCCCATGTTCTAGGTGACCCTGCGTGTGCAGGGGGGTTGGACTAGATGACCTCTGAGGTCCCTTCCAACCTTAAGCATTCTAGGATTCCAGGATTTTATGATTCTGTGATTCTAATCACTACTGCCATGAGCTGGCCGGACGTTGGCTAAGCTATTTCATGTCTCTGGCTCAGACCCCAGCTCCATTAATCGAGGATATTCTCATGGGCATCACACCTCAGAGCTCATGGGCAGAGGACACCATAAGCATATTCCTCTTATCGCAAAAAAGAAAACCCCTGGACTTCTTTTTAAAGTTATGGCCTTGTTCAGTCAACTTTTAATTAACCTTGGATATCCCTACTAAAGACTAGAATTTCGTATCAAGCAGTGAAGCTCCTTGCTCAAGGCAATCAACTCATGTAGCTCACGCTTTTTTCTTTTTTTTCCTTCCCCTTCTCCTTTTAAAGAAGTAATTTAAGGAGGCAAGTCTTTAAAATATACATCCATCATAGAGATTTCATTAATCATGACAGTGCTTGTCTCAGGAACACCCTGCATACCAGACAGCTTGAAGATAAATAAATAAATTTATAAATAAATAAATAAATAAATAAATTGAATTCTAATTTGAAGTGACTCTGCATCCTGACTCCTTGCAATTCTGACTTGCTCGTAATGCAATGTTTCAGGGTAGACGCCTTATGAAATCCTGCAGATACTTACTCAGGTCTCCTTTCATTTTCTTCCAATTTGCTACTTCTGGAGAATCTGGATATTTCTCCAGCAAATCAGAGAGTGCATCATTTATTTTTTGCATCTTCCCTGAGTTCTGCTCCAATTCAGCCAGGAATTCCTGGAAAATAAGTAATTTCTTAACATATAGGAAAAAAAATCATTAAGAAGGGACAAATAAGCAGCTACAAAAGTTGGACAACTTATGCTCTCTCCGTTCTAAGGGAATCATTTCACATTGTCAGCAAAACCATCAGCTAACTCGGCTCCGAGAGCAGAAGAAAGGATAGGGAATTGCTTTCCAAAAGCAGTTGGAGTGACCCAACAAGAAGGGCTAGAAATAGAGGGATCCAGATTTCTCTGAGCAAAAAGGAAAAGAGGGTGAAAAACCCTCTGGTTTCCAAGCCCTTTTGGAACCCTTTGGTTTCCAAAAACCAAAGAGGGTGAAGCATACCAGGAGCTTCCTGCTCCAAGGACCTGCTGGCATTCCCTCCTTTTGAAAGCCAAGGGCAGATGCCTTTAAACCTTGATTCCCGGCGTAACATCTCCAAGAAGCAGCTCGGGCCCTGCTAGGAGGAGTTACCTTATTGTGTTCTGCCTGAGCTCTCATGGTCTCCGTCTTGGTGGGCGAGGAGGAGGCCTCCAGCTCGGACAAGGCGCGTTCCTTCGACTCCAGCCACTTGAGCAGGGCAGTCGCCTCCTCCTGCGCTTCTCGCATCTTCTCCAGCATCGCCGCAAGCCGCTGCTGCCGCTCGCGCAGGGCGGCGCCGAGGCCCTCGTACTGCTGGTTCACGTCCGCCACGTCGCACTGGATCTCCGTCAGGTCTGAAGGCAAAAGCAGCAGCTTAAGAAGAGGAACACGGCCCGCATTGCCCCTCGTAACCAGGACGAGCAGGTACCAAGCTAGCCCCGGGCCTTGCTCCCATCCTCCCGCCTGCCGGAGACTGGGAATGTCAGGTTATCCCCCCCCGCTGAGCCACGGGGGCTCTTTGGCTCGCGCTGCAGATGGACGGTGACAGTTTGCAAACAAAGCAAACGCCTTGGTAGCCCCGGGACTGATGCAAGCTGAGCCCCGCTCCCCCCGTGCCAGCGCTAATACAGCGTTAAATAACTTGACAGCAGCACATAAAGCTGTTTTATGCATCTATCATTTCAGCGAGCTGATGAACTAACAGCAGATAACGGGCAATAATTAAAACTGCACTTGAGCTTGAAGGGCTGGACGGTGCTGTAATCCCTCAGAACCAATAAATGTAATTGCAGGCCTTCAAATGACCTCCCATTTATCAGCTCTTAACACCAGCTGACAGGGTGCCAAGGTGCTGTCACTCCCCGGAGCATCTTGTGTCCTGCCCGTCTCCATCCTTGAGCCTGCCCCATGCCCGCGGTCCCCCGGCTGCCCACTCCGCTGGGATGCCAGGGCACAGAGCGGCGTGGGGCACGGGTGGGACGGAGCCCGCGCGTGGCACGGCACAGCCGGGATGGCATCTCACCTTTGCAGGTGTGGTATCCGTTCACGCTGCCTGCCGCTCCTCCCAGCGCGGGCAGCACAGGACCTGGCCAGAGGGCACGGGGATGGACGGAAGGAGAAGACAGACGCGTTACGGCGAGCAGCCGACACGGGCCGCCGTGCGAGTGGCCCATGTGCGTGGGCACAGCTCACGTGACAAGGACCACATGGCACCAAGCGAGCACGCACCACAGGACGGGACCCCGGGGCTCTCCCCCAACCTGGAGCCCAGCACTCGCTTGGCCTCAAGCCCTTTTCGTCCTTCTCCCCCTGCCCTGATGTGTGAGGAGGCCCACGAGAGGACAAGTTGGATGCTCTTCAGCTGGAGGCCAGGCTGGAGCGGACTCCGTACAGCCAGCCGGTGTGGTGGCCACTGGCACCAGGGAAAAGCCGCTACCCTACGAGTGACTTGGGGAATTAAAGCCTTGCGGGAGGCAGCTGAAGCCTTGTCATAGCCTCGCTCAGGAGATTAGCTCCCCCAAAGAGATTATCTCCCCCACGTTTGCATGGCATGAAGCTATTTAAGCACGGCTCGCTGCTGGACTTCTCACTGCAGCAAGGCTCTGAGGATGATGTGTCAGAGCACTGTCATCCTTGGGACCCATTCCAGACACCTCAGCTGCATCCAGAGTCAAGATGGGACTTCTCATAAACATCATTGAGCAAGTTTCTTCCAAATCCCTTACATGCCAGGCCGTGCATCCCTCCATGCTCGCTGTGGAGGTTTCCCATCAAGCTGCAAGGCCCCGACAAACATATCTAGGCTGAAAGCTCTCGTTTAGCTGAGCTTTGTCTGTCCATCAGCCATAAGAAGCCAGGGACTTCTTCTCATGTGTTGGACGGTATCTTTTAGGTGGTTTCCAAACAAACGAGACATCATCTCATCGCTTTGTGGCCTTTGAGCCAGGAAAGAAACTAGTAAATTAAGCCTGAATATCACAGGCTTAGATTTCATCCAGACACACAATTCAAAGAGTGGGGTTTAATTAAAACATCTCAGGAGGCTGAGATGTTTTAATCTCATGGCCATCCCAGAAAGAGCAGAGCGCCACGTCCCAGCGGCTCCGAGCATCTCCCTGCAGTGGTGGCACCTCTGCTCCAAGCCCCGCGGGACTCAGGCTGCTGCCGGCCTTGGGAGCTGGTTTAAGAAGGGAGAACGAGCCCATTTCTCGCTCGTTGCAGGCACGTTCACAGAGCGGGGAAGCAAGCAGGCCRCAGAGGAGGGGGCTCCGCGCCAGCCGCGACGGCGCCGGGCAGCGGCTGCCACCCACCTGCCTTGGCCTGGGCCTCGGGGGCCGTAAGCTCCACAATCAGGTTCTCCAGGGCTGCCCCGCGCTGAGTGATCTCCTCCACCTGGGCTCCCTTCCCCGTCCATTCTTCCAGTAGAATCTAGGAAAAAACATGGATAAATGAAGCTTAGGATGGGAGCGTGTTGCAGCATCAGGATGCAGCCACGAAGGGCAGGGAGAAAGTGGGTGCCACGGCGGCTATTTTTGTCTGCAGAAATAAACCAGCAAAACACCGCTCCCAAACTGTCGGGTCTGGCACAGAAAACATCATTTTCCCTCCTACTGTCTCGGGGACCTCCCTCCCACTCCGGCTGCAACCCAGCTCGGTCCCTGGGTTAGTCAGAGGCTGCCGTGGCCCCGGGTGACTCAACAGGATGTTCTGCACCCACTGAGTCAAACCCCTGACACGGCCCGGGGAGGAACGGGGGCTCCAGCGACACGAGGCGGCCTTTGAGGTCTAGCGAGGAGAAGCACGTGGCAAAAAAAAGGAGTGTACGCTGGACTCCCGCTCCCCCATTCCTCCCCAGGGAGGAGGGAAGCGAAATCGGATTGCTGGGAAAAACCATCAGGAAGAGTGTCTGTATGTGCCAGGTGAGGTGCTGCGAGTCCCGAGCAGATGGGATTCCTAATGGCTAGTGCCGTGCGAGCCAGAACTGGGGCACCTCATCCCGGGAATCCCGGCACGCGCTGGCATCTTTCCCAGCGCCGCTGCCCACCTGGAGCTGCTGCAGGCCCTTCTGCAGCTCCTGGGGGCCCAGGGAGGTTTCTGCGGGTGGCACCTTCCCCTCGCTCTCCTTCACCCACTTCCTCACAGCTCCGACCAGCTTTCGGAAGTCGTCCAGTTGCTGCTGGCAGGCAGACACGTCCTTTTCTCTGATGGTGAAAAGGGGACGGCGAGTTAGCGCTCGTGCTTTGCCTTGCAATTACCCCGGCTTGAATGCAGCACAGTTGTGTCCCTGGCAGCCGCATTCCCCCTCCATGAGCTGCTGCTAAGCAACATTGCACTCAGCACCAGGCAAAACGGGGCAACGCGGGCGCTGCTCCCATGCAACCGGGCTCGGACGGGCGCTGCAAGCTCCTCCTGCCGGAGCTGCTTGCCCAGAGGCAACCTGCTGCACGACACGGATTTGCTGGGGATTCCTGTGAAATTCCTCTGCTTTTCCCTCCATCGCCTTTCCTTATTCACCCAGGCACTTGGAGGATGCTCCTAAGGGATCCTCTTTGAGCCCCGCTCTAAAGGGACCCTGCAGAGGGGCCAGCCCCACTTGGAACGTGCAGCCAGCAGCACCCGCTCCCCTTGAGCACGAGGCTCTTGGACGGGCACGTGGCGACCCACGTGCTGCAGAAAACATGAACACCGGCTCCTGCAACACCCGGAATTTTGCACAACGCCCCCAGACAGGCTTTTTTTAAAGCGCCCGTTGGAGAGAGCTGCGCTGCGTCTCCGGTGTGGGAGTAGGCAGCAGGAAAAGTTCGCTCATGCCCCGCTGTGGAGAGGAAATCTTGGCAACGGGGTGCTGGGACTCACCTCTCCTTTGCCACTTTCTGCAGTTGCAGGAAGTCCTTCTTTAGGCCCTGCACCTTCTCCTGCTGTGGGGTGCCCACCGGGAAGCCGCAGGAGCCCAGCTCAGCTGCCAGGTGCTCCAGAGCTTCCAGGTCCTCCTGCTGCTGCCTCAACTCTGAGTTCAGTTCCTGTCAAGAGCAAAGGATGATGCCAACCGTGTTCCTGCCACCTGATTCAGTCAAAGCGGCAAAAACACCCCTGTTTTTGCCACTCTCTGTAGGCAGCATGGTGAATTCTACTGGTGCCAAACAGGTGGACGAGGCTCCACTTTGCTTGCTAGAGAAGTGGACGAGGCTCCACTTTGCTTGCTAGAGAAGCTCTGGGTGAGCACAGCCTTTCTCCAGCACAAGTGCCACCTTCCCAACCAAACCAAATCCAACCAAAGCTCAGATGTTCCATTTTAGGGCAGCTTAGAGCACTTTTGAGGCTGAGACCAAATCATTCCCTGCAGAAGATCACTTGGAGGAAAAGCTGGATGCCAGGAGTCAGAGCCTCCCTAAGGACTTTGGCTTATCCACCACTGTGCTCATCGCCCCCACTGCCAACGCTTGGGCATTTTGCTGTATGAACTTGTACCATTTTTAACTGATAACGTCTTGTATTTGGTTTGGTCCTCAAGACATGGACTAGAGAATCCTTGGGGAGATCAGCCTGGCTCCAAGGAAATGCCATCCCCGGATGTTCTCCTCACATTGCCAGGAACAATTTTACCTGCTCGCCTCTCCCTTCCTCAAGCACCTCCTTGAGCCCTGCACAGATAGAGCCTCCTCCCTTCTTGGGCCAGGAGCGCCCCCGGCTCACCTGAATGTGCTGGGAGAAATGAGTAATGTCACGCTCCGGCTGGTTCCCGCATGCCAACATCCGCGCTCGGCTCTCTGTGAACTGCTGCAGCTTCTCTGAGAGCTGCTCGAACTGCTCCACCTTGGGCAGGAGGCCTTTGAGGGCATCCTCCTTCTCTTGATGTTGCCGGCACAGGCGGCCAAACCGCTCCGTCACCTCCGCCAGCTTCCCTCGCAGGGCAGAGGCGGTGGCGCCGTCCGCCGTCTCCGTGAACCGCGTCACCATCTCGCGGGTGGCTTCCAGGCAGCTCTTCTGCCTGGCAATGTCCTGCTTCAGCTTCTGGTTTAAACACAAGCACAGAAGATGCCATTTTAGGAAGGCGCTCGAGCATAACTGAGCTAGCACGAGGAGAAGGGCGCCCTTTGGAATGACGACAGACATTTCCAGACACCAGGATCATGCAAGGACAGGGTTCAATCCTAGTCCTCTTTCCTTTCTTACCTCCCCGATCTGATCTTCCTTTCCCCAGGGCTTCATAGCTAGTAGCTAGCCAAGGAGGAAGGGAGACCTTCAGCATTCGTGTCCTGGCTCAATAAATGAGGTAAAGAGCCTATTCAAGTTCCTTTTGGGGGTGGTTTGTGCACTTAGAGTATTTTAACTAAACCCAGGATTCTATCTGCAGAGTTCGGATAGCAAAATGACCGTCCTCACCGCATTGGTGGCGAGCGAGTCCTGGATGGAGGCAGAGGAGAGAGCAGTCGGCTGCTTCTCCTCCAGGCTCTTCTCAATCTCAGCCACGGACTGCAGGAGACTTTCCAGGCTCTCCTGGACGCTTTGGGACTGGGCGATGGATTTCTGCAGCAGGTCGGAGCGCTCTGCCATCTGCTGGGAAAGGCTGCGGAAGCAGCTCACGATGGCATCTGGAGAGGTCGGCACAAAAAGAGAGAAATGTCAGGGAGGACCTCAGAGCCTTGCCTGGCACACGGACTAAGCAAGGAGCACCTCGTCCATCAAGTTTGGAGATGCAGCAACACGTCTCAGCTTTAGAGACGCTTCGCTCTGTACCTGTGGTTTCTCGAATGTGTCCACGGTCAGGGGCTGGCTCTCCTTGAATCTCCAGCAGTGAACGAGCTGCTTTCTGGAGCTTCTCCACAGGTACCTGGTGCTCGGCCAGGTCTCCTTGCAGCTCCTGCTTGACACAAGACAAAGCCAAAGTCAGTGGTCCATCACACTCAAGAAGTACCATGCTCCAAGAAACCCTCTCGAGTTTGCTGCCTGGGGACCTCCTGAATCTGCAGGTACAGCCTTGCACTTGGTCAACCAAAAAGGCAACCAAAACCAAGTCTTGCTGTTGCTGCTGCCTTCTACCACTGCTTCTGCTCAGAGCAGAGGCTGAATTTCTGTACACATCAGATGATCCCCTCCGAGACCACACACCTTAGCACTAGCAAGTTGCTTCTGCAGAACAGTAGGATCTGAAGAAACTGTCTCCGAGACAAGTTTCCCAACTGCTGCTTCGCTCTCCTGCAGCCAAGTCTTGAGAGATTCTGCCACATCCTGGAACTGCTTGTAGTAACCCAGCAAGGTGCTCAGGTGGGAGCCAAGCTTGGTGCACTGCAAAGGAGCAATAAGGCAGAAGGTGAGGAGGAGGCTCAGGAGCACAGGACAACCTGGGTGCCCCTGGAGAAAGCAGGCTAATCACTAAGGATGGGAAGGGAAATCTTGCCATATAGGAGACAGTTCTGAGAGGTAAAACGTTAGTCCAGCACAAGAACGTGGACCTACTGTCTGCAGTGCTAAAAGCACAGTCAAATTCAGGGAAAACGCCAGCACTCCTTGTTTAAGGAAGACAACAGCCTGCAGGGTTTAAGCGACAGCCCTTGCTGTACCTTGGTGTGCAGGGCGGTGTATCGCTGCGTCGCGTCCTCCAGCTTGCTCCTGACGACGCTTCCCGACGTCAGGGGCCGGGCACCTCCGTCCTTGGCAGCTCCCTCTGCATCCAGCACCTTCTGCCCCGACATGGTGACGAAGCGCAAATCGCCCTTGTGGGAGATGACGTCCTCCGAGAAACTTCCCTGTCGGAGCAGCAGCTGCTGGAGCGATGCCGAGTCGCTGTCCCCTCTGTACATCCCTTCCAGGTCTTGCTCCGCTTGCTTCAGCCATGCCTCGAACTCTCCGTGATCGCGCAGGAACTTCTGCAGCTCGTCCCGCAGCTCCTGCACCTGCTTCAGCTGCGTCTCCGACCGCGACAGCGAGCTCCCGTACTGGTCCTTCAGCTCCGCCAGCCGGCCCTGGAGCGCATCCCGCTCCTCCGGCGTGAGGTTGTGTCCTTGCTTGTCCAGGAAAGCTTGTGCCACCTGCGTGGCCAGGATGATGTCCTGCTGCTGGGACAGCAGCTCCTGGTGCTGCCCCTGCACACACAAACAAGCCCATGTGAGCCCAGCACTGAGCACCTCCGTCCCCCGGCACCTCGCAGAGGATGCAGCCTCCAGGAGGCCACACAGTGACTTCCCGGGAGTCCCTGACTCCATACAGAAAATGTCAGGTCATTTTGAATCGGGGCTTTGGAGGCCAGACCCTGTCTCTCTCCCACTCCACCCCCAGCTTGGCCGGTGGCTTGGGGCACCCAGCAGCCCCAAAGCCGGCTCTGATGCTGACAGCAGAAAGCTTTGAGGGGGACAGGGTGTCAGTGCTGACCTTCAGCCCCTCGTACTGCTCCTCCAGCTCCTTGGCAATGCTGTCGCCTCCATGGCCATCAGGAGCGTCCTGAGCATCCCGGCCTGCTTGTGCTGCCGGCTCGGGGAGGTGGGGCTTGTACTCCAGGATCCCTTCCTTCTGCTCCAGTGATGCCACCCAGTTCAGAAGGGAATCGATTTTGTTCCTGTTTGCCTCCAGCTCTTCGGAAGCTTTTGCCTGAAAACACAAAGACAACAGATGAGAAGGATCTCTGTTAGGCAGGTTCAAAGTGTCAGTCAGGGACGGGAGACAAAACGAGCAGAAAAATAAAACCCCTAAACCATGGGCCTCCCTTTGCCCTCAATGATTGGAGCTGCTTGACGCGCCTCCTCACTGGAAAGGCCTAAACACAGAGCAGGGTGGAGGCAGAGGAAATTGCTCCGTTCCCTAGTGCCCAGCAGAGGAACACAAGGCCTTCAAGGAGGCTGTTTCTACCCACTAGCCCCGGGGTCCGTCTCAGTCCTGGGCTCACAGCTCCTCGCACGTCACCTTCTCGGTCTCCTGTTGCACCGCGGCTGCCACGGCGCTCTCCAGCTCCTTCTGGGCTGTCTCTGCCCTCTCCTGAAGGGCCTGGTACTGCTCCTTGGCCTGCTGCAGCTTCTCCTGGAGCGCTGCCAGCTCCTCGGGCTTCATCTTCACCTTGTTCTCCTCCAAGAACTGCTCGGTGGTTTTCAGCACACCGGCAAAGGAGGCTGCCTGGGTGTTCATGCTCCTCTGCAGCTCCTAGGTGCGCAGAGGGAAGGGGCCATCAGCTCCGGGTGCTCCCCGGGGAGGCACCGCTGCGCCTCTCTCCCCGTTTCCCCGAGCACCGACCTTAACCCTGCTCTGCCTCTGCTGCAAGGTGGCCAGGTCGGCGGCGCCGGGCGCCGCGGGCTGCTCGGCCAGCGTGTCCCCGGCGGCGCGCAGCCAGGCGCGCAGCTCCTGCAGCCTCTGCGCGCAGGCCGCCTGCCGCTCCTGCAGCGTCTGCGCGCGAGGGGACAGGGGAGAGGAGGCCGTTAGCAGCAGCCCTGCACCCCCCGGCACGCGCGCCGCTGGAAAGCAAGGCGAGAGGTTACAGCTGGAGCGCTTCCCAGGAGGATGCAGCACGGAAATGGCTTTGGCAGCTCTCCGTGGGCTCTCTCCCTCTCTCTGAGACCCGCACGGGCTCAGGGGCTGGTGTCACTGCCGGGCCAGGGGCTCCACGCGGAGCCATGCTCCGATTTATGCTCTTGGGAGCCTTTACCAAAAATTCCTGTGCCTTTTCTGCTCAACTTGCAGAGCGCTGAAATTGCACTGAAGACTCATCTAATGAGAGCTGGCAGCAGCAGCAACCTCGTGGAGCCCTGAGCAACCGAAGGCAGGTTTGCTTTTGCCACCAGTGTTAGAGAGGGAGCCTAGGAGAGAGAAAACCTTTCTGTAGCTCATCCAGCTCCTATGTTTTGCTGCCAGTGCACATTACAGAAGCGCTTGTTCGAGCAATTGAGCATGATGTGACCTAAGAGTCCCTGCACCGTTTCTGTTCCCTTTCCCAGGGGAAATAAACACTTTTGAGTTTCCCTGGGCATTCCAGCAAGGTGAGGTACAAACTTGTGCAAAACACTGTGCTTGAGTCTCGCAATCCTAAGATAAATGACAGAAGCCCTTTGAAAGAGCCTTCTTAAGAGCTCTTCGGCTGCAAAGCGAGTTCTTCTTGGGTTAGGATGGGCGCACACTGAATCTGAAAAAGCAAAGCAAACTGGTTAATACACACACACTCCAGATGGACAGGCAAGAGTTACAGAGAGCAACTGTTAATTAAAAAAATATATTAATACTGTCTTGAATAAGAAGATCCATGCAGGGATATGTGCTGCAGGAATACAGCAGTTGGGGGAAGTTGCTGGCTGCCTTCACGCATCATTGACAGCTGTTTCTTTTGGACCAGCAAAACCTGACTTTTGTGGTGAAAATAAGATGTTAAAGGCACTGCTTAGGACCAGCTGTCTGCGGTGCCTGCTGCACACAGGGACTTTCTGGTGGGGCTCTTACAGACTGGGGCTTCTTCTACCACCCCAAAGGAACCTGGTGTTCGGAGAAGGGACTGTCCAATTGTGCTACCCAGCCCCTTGAGAGGGCTTCAGCTTTTGGGAGCCAAGCTGTCCGAGGGTGACGTGGGAGGAGGAAGAAAGACTTTAAAGGAAGCTCATGATGTGCAGTGGGAAGTCATGAACCAAGTGGCATGCAGGTGCAATCCCACCAAAAAGGTGTCTCAGTGCATGTTGCTGAGGGCCAGAAAGGGCCTCGGAGAACAAACTGCAGCCAGGTAGCAGATGTGCCACAACCTTCACCTGATCGGTCTGCTCCGCTTGCTGCAGACAGACCTGCAGGACCTCCACCTGGGCCACCACACGCTCCGACAGCTCCCGGAAAGCCTTCTGCAGCTCGTTGAGCAGCCTCAGCAGCTGCCTGCTCTGCTGGGGGGTCAGGTCCTGGGCGTGCTCCGAGATGAGCAACTGAATGTCGAAGGCAGTGGCATCGAGCTCGGATTTGGTGTCAGCAAGCGGCTCTTTCAGCTCCTGAACGGAAAGGAAACAGCCTGTCAGACAAACTGCTCTCCATGGCCAGTGCTTTCCTACACTGCCGGCTTCAGATGAGATATAGAAACAAACGGGATTTGTTGCTGCACACGTGGCTGGATTATTCAAAAAAAAGTACTTTGCTACCAGAGCAATATATTCCTGAAACCCAACGAACTCCACCTGAAGTATCAGTGTATCTGTGTCTCACAAGTGCATTTTTCTAAGGCTCCTCTAAACCAGGCCTCTAGCTCCATACCAAAAAGTTGCCTTGACCTTGTTCATAAAACTAGGTGGGCTTGGTGATGCACTGCTGACAGAGCCAGACATGGAGCTGCCAGTGGCTCCCAGCTGCTTGGGATAGTCCATGATGACAATACGTGGTCCCAGTGACTGCCAGAGCCTTCATCCCCCTCAACCCGCAGCTCTCCCCCCTCATCGTGCATCTCTCCTGGTCGCTTGGGCTCCATACACACCTGCAGTTGGATATGTTCCCCAAAGGGCCAAAATGAATATTTTATGTACAATGCAAATAAATGTCACGGAACAAATACAACACCGCAGCTCCCCCCGCAGCAAGGCATCAAGACAAACCCACCAAGACTGGAGGAGAGAAGCAGGATTAAAAGCTTCTCGTTCCTGCAGAGGATGTTGTCTGTATCAGCCCGGATTAGGGGCATTGCCATGGTTACCTGGTAGTGTTGGAGGCAGCGATTCAGGCTGGTGGCGTCAGGCGCCCGGTGGTAATCGCTGCTGTCCAGTGCCTGGGCGGTGCTGGAGACCCAGCTCAGCAGCTCCTGCAGCTTGCCCTGGAGACTCTCGTGATGAGCCACGATTTTAGCCTTTAAGTGAAGCAGAAGCGTGTGTGGTTTAAACCAAAAGCAGATTAAGGACAGGGAACCTCGTGGGGCAGCGGGCGGGGAGGACACGGGTGAGCTCTACCTTTTCGCTCTCTGCTGCTCCGCGGAGGTTCAGCAGCCGGGACTCTAGGACATCACTCGCCGAGCTCAGGGACTTCTGAAGGTTCTTGGCGTCTTTCTCCAAAGCCTTCAGTAATTGCTCGGGGACTTCTTCAGGCGGGTTGGCCACAATCCACTTCACAGCGTCCAACTCCTGATTCACTGGGAAGCTCAGCTCCTTCAGCTCCGTGTCCAGGGCCTGCGGCAGACAGCATCACTACGTGTAAGACGCAGCCCCTGCTCCTTCTCGCTGCCAAAACTGACAGTCTGGCAAAGGTTTGGAGAACCAGCTCCAAATGCTGTATCTGCTAGAAAGATCCACTGCACCCGACCCATGCAGACACGCTCAGCTGCCAGTCCTCAGCTGCCTTTCTTCAGGCGATAAAATTAATTTCAGTCACACTTAGGTTATTGTCTGAGCACGGGCTGCAAGGCGAGCCAGAAAGATTGACTTTGCATAGAAATATCTGCTAAAGCTGAGACTAACCCCCCAGCTCGCTTGCCCTAAAGTGAGGAGGAGCTGCAACGGCCATGCGGGAAGCTGAGGAGATCCAGGGGTGAGGAGGAAAGTCCTGCCTACCCCGAGCCTCTCACCTCCGCTTGCTGCAGCAGCTCCTGCAGCGCTGCCAAGTTCTGCCCCGCTGGCTGCACCCGCTTGATTTTCATCTCAATGTCGCGCAGCATGGAGAGGTAGGAGATCAACTTCTCATCGTGCTCCAGACACATCTTCTTGCTGAACATAATCTACAGAATCCAAAGGCAAAGCAAAACCTCAGGTGTGGGCACAAGGGAAAACAGAAGGTTATGTGTATTTAAGAAAATTCTTAACGTTCAGTTTTAGGGGCTTTCCACTTGCTAGCCTGTCTACAAGATTTACTACAGGAAAAACAAAACACATGGCTCTTTTCTTTTTCCCAGCCTAAGCTTATAAATGCCAACAGATCCATGGTGCCGCAGTAAAAGCATACAAAAACCCCTGTCCTCCTTAGTCATTTGTAAGTAATGCTTCAATAAAAAGAAGCCACAACTAAAGCTGGAATGTTTTCAGCCATACATCACCGGCTTGTTTGCCAAATCCTTTTGAGCTGATCCCGTGGCACCGAGCCCCAAGCAGTCACTTGCAGCCGTTCTTGGTGCTCCCTGAGGACCTCCAACAGATTTAACCTCCAATACACGCAAGGAGCTAATGGAAAACGTTGGAATAGCAAAAAGAACAGCTTACCTTGGCTGGTCTCGTGGATTCCTTGGAGGTTTCCAGCAGTTCCCCCTCAGCTATCACAGGTAAGAGCAAGCTGGACTGCCGGGATCTTTCCTGGTGCGTCTGTTCCTGGGATTTAGAGGGGAGCGAGGAACCTGCTTGACCCGAGCTGAACTCTACTAATGGCTTTTGTGGTGTCTTTTCCGCATGCTCAAGGATTACAGAGGTTTCCGGAGCTTCTCTGGGCTCCTCTCTGATAATTAATTCTCCCAGCTTTTTGCCTGCTGCAGGGGTTGCAGTTGACGCAGGACTGGTGGTCTCCACTTGCATGTGTTCCCGGGATGTCCCCACCTCCCGTTTAAAAGCTGCAGAGGAATCTTGACCGTTTCTGGTGTCATCTGCAATTACGTCTTGGGATCCCTCTCCTTCTGTGGGATCAGGGTCAACTCCTCTAAATTTCTCCTTAATTTTCTCAGAAATGGACTTCTCTCCTTTCTCAGAACCATTCTGTCTTCTGGTTTCCATTTTCTTTCGCTCATTTGCATCTTTTGGTGATTCACCTGTAATTCTCTTGGTTGTGGTTCCATGTTTTTGTTTTGGAGTGCGTGAGATGAGCTCCTCCTCTATCTCCTCTGGAATTTCTTTGGAAACTGGCATAAGAAGGGGCTGTTTCCCCATGGCAGATGTCTCCAGCTGAGTGCTTTCTTCTGGGATACTAGTCTGCTTGGCCTTCTTTTTCTTGGTTTTCTGTTTTTGGGTAGGTTTTAGACCCATTTCAATTGACTTTTCCTGAACAACTGGACCTTTTGCATCCAATATCAAGGCATCTCCTCCAGTGTCTTTGACACTTGTCTCATCTGCAAGCTTCTCTTCTGCAGGTTTCTTACTGATGGCGACCTTGGAGGATTCTCCAGACTTTGCAGGAACAAACTGCCCCTTTCCCCCACCCACAGACACCAATTCCTTTGGCACTACCTCAGCTACCTGACCCTGATCCACACTGCCCATTCCCTCAGCTCCTCCAGAGACCACCGTGGCACCTTCAAGCTCTGCCACAGCTCCCGCTGCTCTTACAAACCCTCTCTTTGTCTCCTTGCTCTCCTCAACACTTTGAACGATCTTCCTGTCAGACAATGACTTCTCCTCTGACCTCAACTCCTCCTTTGTCTCCTGAGCCACTTCTGCTCGCCTCAACTCCTTCCCCTCAATGTCTTCCATGTAGGAGCTGCTTTTTCCTACCTCTTTTCCTGCAGTCTTTACCGTGGCTGTCTC